CAAAAATCAGAATCCTGAATAAAATGATTCCAAAAATGGAAAAAAAAGATACTTCAAAAAGAAAATTAAATTCCCTTGCACCCCTATAACATTAAATGAACATACTCAAAAAAGAAAAAACAAACATACCCTGATCACACAAAATTTCAATGAAATTTATGAAATTTCAATAATTTTAAAATAATTCTTGTTAAAGTGTGTCCATGAATTTCATGATATAGAAATTTATGAGGCGTCATAAATACCTCGTTACATGTTGGATACAATAAAATTAAAAATATAAATCTTTAAAGCCTTAGCTTTGCAATTCAACCAAGCTCACAACTGGATTTTTATTTTTCAGAAAGCAAACACACAGTAAAGTCTTCCTCATTCTTAATTTTAAAAAGAATAAGTAAAGGCCTTTTCTGATAAACATATTTTATTCAGCTCCTCCAACCATCAGTACTTGAAAGTTTAGTAACAAAAGGAGTATGAGACATAAAAACAGCTGGGTATTTATTTTAGAAACTTCTATAAGGACTCCATAATAATGAACCATACACATCAGGCAATTCTGAGCAAATGTGTTTTCACATCTGATAGGATTCTATACTAAGATCTCTGTGGCCCAATCAGATCAAATATTTAGAATGTGTCTAAATCCCCAATCTCAAACTGAAATGGGGAAATTTGTTTAATTACTGTAAATCCTATTAAACCAATCTTCTTTGTAAAGTGGAAAATGTCCGACCTCTGAGGGCTATGGCGGGTATAATGAATGCAGAGTTTAATTAGGGCCCACTGCTGGCTCACTATAATCTATTAATTAGCATTCTCAGTTCCCATATCTCATTGCAGTGTTTCACTTTACTTTAAAATTGCACCCTTCGTTTTTTGGACCAAAGTTATACAATTTTGGGATTGTGTAGTAATTATAGGGGATGCTGAAAGAATATATTCCTGCCAGCATTGGGGTTTAATTAGGGCAAGGGGCGGAATCTAGATAAGGCAGTGTTCACCCTTCCTCAGCACATATGGTTTTTTTGGCATCATCATCCTGCGGACTGCTTCGCTTCCAGTGCACTGAAGTGCTGACTTCTCACCATAATTGTTTCAGAAGATTCAATATTTTGCCTTTTAAATGTAGTCGAATAATTAGAGGATATTATCTTTGTTTCTCATCACGTGGCTTTTAAAGTACAGGCAAAATTAACTGCCTCAATTATTTGGAAATAAAGAAATATGACCAAATTATTTTCCTTGTTAAAATGGACATTTCCAACTTGCTTGATAATAAAAGTTATCATAATGATATTTTTCAAGACATCGTCAAAGTATACTGGAGGCTTGCTAATTCAAAAATAAATCTAAAAACCTTAATTTAACTTCTACCAAAGCCACTTTAAATTACACACACGCTCACACTTACATTTATATACACACACTGAGCCAATCTTTTCTTGGAAGGTAAAACCTTTCAAGGGAAGTGTTAATTCACATGCAATTCTTACACACTATTTATTATAATAAAAAGTTTTATATTAGCCACTTCTCAGGTGAATGAAAGTAAACTGTTATTGTTATTAACAATACATTTGAAATTGGATAAGATTCAAATACAATGCACTATATATTAACTACCTAAATACAAAAAAAGTACCTCATATCTGAGCACTGACATACATCAGTACATACTCTAAAATTATCAATCACAATTTTACGAAATTACTAAAACCTAATACCCACTCTAGAGATAGTTTCTAAGTTCTCTACTACTATAGTTTTACTTTGCCACAAGACTAACTAAAGCAAACTTATTTTTTTCTCTCCTGATACTTAGTTTGACACATGAAATTATAAAAGCATTCAAAATGTCCTATTACTTTATTTTTAAGAATTACAGATTTTTACTGTTGAACTTCATTTTCTGACAACTTAAACATTAACCCAAGAAAAGGTATTTTTCCATTGTGTTGCCATTTATCATCTGATTGTTTCACCTTCTGCATCAATGATTCCCGAGATAAAGAGACATCAAAATCTCCTGGATGGCTTTTTTCAACTAAACATATCTAAGATATTAAACACTTTTTTTCTGGATACTCGTTCCGTCTACTGTTAGTGATCATCATACAAAGGGGTCTATCAGGAGTCTGTCACAATCATGAGCCACAATATGGCAAAAAAAAAAAAGGATGAGCTGCACTGTAAGAGTGGTCCTGTGTTTCTTTTGCTTTCTTTCACAAGTGAGCTCAAAGTAGACCAGAGGATCACCACAAATTCCTTCTGGCAAATGAGCAACAGAATAGTTTAAGAATCAGATGCACTAAATTCTAAAGATCCCAAACTGATTTATCATCCAGCCTACTAGAGAAGCTTGCTGCAAGTAAAAGTTCCTAAAATTATCTCCAGAGATACTTACTTACTGGGTTGAAGGACACAGAATACATATTTTAAACAAATACACCTATAGATATTGATGTATCTGTGCAGCACTCAGGAATCCTGTCCTCACTTAAAAATCCAACACTGCAGTCTATTTAGTTCTTTTCCTTCATTTATTTTTAAAGATTTATTTATTTATTTATACAGGTACTGGGTACAGTCAGAAGTGCGGGAGGGTGAGAGAATTCACCAGAGCCAGAGCGGGGAGCAGAGCAGGCAGAAGGACCGAAGTACACTGCTGAGGGGAGCAGCGGGCGGCAAGAGAGGTCCCATGCGGGACCCTCCTCCAGTGGCCAAGGAACAGCCGGGGATCGAACCAGCGCCGCGGAGGCTTCAGGCAGCTTTGCAACCCAGTGCTCAACTGCTGCGCCACCAGGGAGGCCCTGCTTCATTTGTTTTTAAAGTCTTGGTGACTAAAACTCAGAGAACACTTCAAGGAATACTTATTAAAGGATATTTCCTCATTTTTAAAAGGACTAGATCTTTAAAAGATTTAGAGACTTAAGTACATTAATAAAACATTCAGATTTTATGTAGTCACAAATTGATTAAATTACTGGTTAAAAAATAAAAGCAAAATAGTATGAGGCTATAATGTATCTGAGAAAATAAAATCATCATAATTTCTAATTACTCTAATTCTAAATCTCTAATTCAAAGAAATTCAAGGCTTAGTTCTTAATTTACATTGGATTATCAAATAAACTTGAAAAAAAATTTAACTAAGATCATTAAATTAACTAGTAGATACACAACATAAATAGGCAGCAGAAATAAAGATTTAGCTTCATACCATCTCACACCAGTGAGAATGGCACATATTAAAAAAACTAGCAACAACAAATGTTGGCGAGGGTGTGGAGAAAAAGGAACTCTCCTGCACTGTTGGTGGGAGTGCAAACTGGTCCAACCACTATGGAGAGCTGTGTGGAGATTTCTGGACCTACTAAACATAGAGCTTTCATATGATCCAGCAATTCCACTCCTAGGTATTTACCCAAAGGACACAGAAACATCAATTCCAAAGAGCACCTGCACCCCTATGTTTATAGCAGCACTGTTTACAATAGCTAAGCTTTGGAAACAACCCAAATGCCCAAAAATAGATGACTGGATCAAGAAGATGTGGTACATATACACCATGGAATATTACTCAGCATTCAAAAAAGATAAACACATGCAATTTGCAGCAACATGGATGGCGCTGGAAGGGATCATGCTCAGCGAAATAAGCCAGAAAGAAAAAGAAAAATACCGGATGGTCTCACTCATAGCAGGAATCTAGAAAACTTAAATAAGGGACCAGGAAAATGAATAACTATAAGAAAGTGAAAATCAAAATCAACAAAAAACTATGAACCAGAGACACTCTATGGGGGGTAGAGGGCGGGAGGGGAGGGACTGGGGTCAAAATAAGGGGGTTGCAATTGTATGGGGAATATAAAAATAAAATTTATTATAAAAAAATGAAAAAAAAAGATTTAGCTTCATACACAATAGAAATTTTGGCTTAAGAAGCATAACACCTATGATATTGCACTTGTATAAAATTTGTACTGTGCATGCAGACAGTTCATTGGGCCCCACCCCCTGCACCTCTTATCTACATCCCAGTACTTCTATGCAAAATATATATATCCGAAGTGAGCACTATACAGATATATATACACACATATAGTAGAGATTTTTATGGTGGCAACAATTCAAACTTGCCCTTTTTAAAAAGTCTTAAAAGTCTTTTAAACAAAAAGCATGATTAAGATATTAATTACTAGAGCTTGAATATGATTTGTCCACATTTTGGATTGATGTCACTGAATGTGACATGGCTATCACCAAAACATTAACTATAAACCTGGAAGAGTGCAGAAAGATAATAATGAATGTTTCATATGTCTAATAAGATAGCATTTAGCTTTTGAAATGCAAAAATTATAATGCCTAATTAACTTATTTTCTGTAAGGAGCCGATCACACCAAGCTGCCTTTCTTCCACCTTAAATATGAATTAAAGGACTAAAATAAAATCTATAGAAGCATCCTGAAGTTAGATTTTTGTGAATGTCAACAGACAGACTGTCACTTAATTGCTGGTACCTAACAAATATTTGCATCATCAATAGTGGCTTTTTCAAAGTCATTTCCATTCCAAGTTGCTGTTAACAGTAACTTGCCTGATGGCAGTTCTTATTTTTTTTTTAAAAAAAAAGGACTCTTTTTTTCAATGATTTTTTTGGACATTATGCTGAGTCTTAATGCTACGCATCTCACACTTAAGACATACAGATCTTAGAACATGTGGCAAATCTATACACTCACAAGAATTCAAAAAAGATAACACAATGGAAGACAAGACAGGATAAGCGAGAAAAGCTAGAGAAGGAAACAAGCAGACACGCAATCAGAAAAAAATTAAAGCATGAGAATCAGAGGAGAGAAAAATACTAAAATAAAAATGAAAAAGAAAGATAAACCAAGAAGGGAAAAACCTAAAAAGAAAAGAGAAGAAATGGCTCATTTCATTTCTACATGCAAATCCAGGCAATGAAGGTAAACATGCATAGAAAACAAACCTGGTTTTCCTCCTGCACAACTCTGTACTGCTCCTTCCAAACAGTAATTTTGGAAGCTTCATCTTTTCTCAGGGCTCGTTCTTTCTTCAGCTCTGGGCTCCAGAAGGTCTTGATGCTATTCATTGAAGAACTCAGTTTGCTTTCCTTTACTTCCACATCCTTCCGCAAAAGATCGTTTTCCCTCAACACTTCCTTCAGTTGTGTCTGCAGATCCATGATTGTGTTATCTCTGGCCTGACGAAGAGAGTGAGGTACAGTGGATGCCATACTCACAGGAGGGAGGTGATGCTCTCCAAATGCTATGGTGTCACTAGCAACCCCACTACTAGCTATATTGGGGCTACTGCCCATAGCAGTCATCCTAACACTATAAGGCAAACGTCCCCCAGAACGGCCAAGTGTCATGGTGCTTTTAGGGGTTTCTGAGCCCACGTTTTCATGATCACTTAGATACATAGGGCCAGATGTGGCATAGGCAGCATTTAAGGATTGGATATTCTCCATTGAAAGGGTTTTCCCACTGCCACCTCCAACAGTGCTTCCAGAACTCCCTCCTGTACTATTGGTGCGTCGATGACCCAGGCGAGGAGAACGTGGAAGCCTTGGTGAACGCCCAGGGCTCTGGTTGCTTGGTTCCACCTTCCCAACTGAGCGAGCACTTCCATACATGGTTGCAAGATGGATTTAGGTGCCAGGAAAGATGTAAAGCAGAAAGCAAAATATGAAACTCCGTGATGTTTCTCTATGGCTATAAGTCTGCTTAAGGCTAATCAGAAATAACAGGTCCTCAGCTGTCCAGCCTTGAAGAAATGTCTTACACCATATCTGCAATGAGAAGGTCATATATTAAACCCTCTAATAATAAACATTTCCCTTCTCAAAAACTTTTCACTACCCCCTCACTTAAGGAGGAATTCCCCTTCTACCATCTATTTATTCATGCATTCAAAGTTTAATACAGCACAATTTACTTCACTGTAAATATTCTTTAGACGTTCTTATCTTAAAAGTGAATACTGAAGAACTCCCCTGGTGGCGCAGGCTGTTGAGAGCAGTGCTGTGAAGCTGTCCGCAGCCTCTGCAGTGCTGGTTCGATCCCAGCCAGCCAGTGAGGGTCCCACATGGCGCATCAGACCTCTCCTGTCTCGCCCGCTGCTCCCCTCAGCAGTGTATTTCGTCAGTCTGCCTGTTCTGTTCCCTGCTCTGTCTCTGGTGGATCCTCTCACCCTCCCACGAATCTGGTCTGTACCCTGATTCTTGTATAAATAAATCTTTAAAAAAAAAAAAGTGAATTCTGAAACCAAACCATGTATATGGAAAAGATAAAGATGTAAGAGATGTATAAAGAGTAGCAAGGAAAAGATGAAACTTTTGAATATATGATTTTCTAACTGGAAAACCCAAGATCATCATCTGACAAGTTATTAGAACAAAAAAAAAATAAAATAAAATTGGTCAGGCACAAGATCAATATATAAATATCAATACTTTCCTGAACATCATTAATTAAGAATTACAATGTGCAATTTCTTAAAAATCCCATTCACGATAGCAACAAAACCATAAACTCTTAGTTATACATCTAACAAAAATCTACATTTTTGGAGAAGGACTACAAAACTTTTCTGAAAGAGCCCCAATCAAAAGAGAAGTTATCCATGGGCATGAAAGGAAAGACAAACACTGCAAAGGCGTCAGTTCTTCCCCAATGGAAAGCTACAGGCTTCTTCATATTAACTCACAAGTTGACTCTAAAATTCAAAAGGGGGGCCTCCCTGGTGGCGCAAGGGTTAAGCACCGCACTATGAAGCAATCCACAGCCTCTGCAGCACGAGTTCGATCCCCAGCCGGCCAGAGAGCTCCCCACATGGCCCAGCAGACCTCTCCTGACTTGCCCGCTGCTCCCCTCAGCAGTGTATTTCAGTCAGTCTGCCTGTTCTGTTCCCCACTCTGTGTCTGGTGAATCCTCTCACCCCCTGCATCTCTGGCCTGTACCTCAGCTCTTGTATGCATAAATAAATAAATCTTTTAAAAAAAAATAAAATTCAAAAGGAAGAGTAAAGGTACAAGAAAAACCAAACAGTATGAAACAGAAGAACAAAGAAGGAAGATGTTCCCTAAATAGCAAGACAAATTATAGATACATGTCCTTTATTTGCAATGTAAAAATTCAAAATATATGCTTTTTCTTTTTAACTCACTTAACAGCAAGACTTTACCTGATCTGTAAGAAGTCACTTTATGTCACATGTATTTCACTTAGTGGGATTATTTGCTCACTTCATTAAGAAAACAATGTATATGATTACAGGATACTGCATAATGCCCACTAGGTATTACAAGAAAAAAATCCAGACTCCAAAACCACAGCTAACTGCCAGTATTTCTCACAAGGACTGGTAGTCTTATAAAGCTATTCACTGTCTTTTAAAACTGTAGTACTAACCCAGGCATAGAGTCTAAATTAATATGTATGAGTATATGCTAAAAATAAGAATTCCAAACAGTGAGGAAAGGGCAAATCATTCAGTCAATGGGGTTTGAACAACTCTTGGGAAAAAAATTACAACCCCACTTCACACAGTACACAGAAATAAATTTCATGACATCAAAGATATAAATGTTAAAATTATTAAAAAGGACTAGAACAAAAATTTAGAATATCTTTGTGAAGTCAAGATAAGAAAGGGTTTGTTACGTAAGAAACTAAAAGGTAGATGACAAGTAAAAATTTATATACTACTGGCCTCCCTGGTGGAACAGGAGGTTGAGTACTGTGCTGTGAAGCTGTCTGCAGCCTCTGTAGCATGGGTTCGATTCCCAGCTCCCAGGGAAGATACCCACATGGCACGGCAGACCTCTTCTGCCTCGCCCGCTGCTACCCTCAGCAGTGTATTTCAGTCAATCTGCCTGTTCTGCTCCCCACTCTGTCTCTGGTGAATCCTCTCACCCTCCCACACCTCTGGCCTGTACCCCAGTTCTTGTGTAAATAAATAAATCTTTTTTAAAAAATTTACATACTACTGTTCAAGTTAATTCTATTTTAAGACCAAAGAGGAAAAAAGTAATCTGAATACTGCTTAAAATAAGTGAGCTACTCATTATCCAAAATCCTTTGAGTGGTAACAAAGGCTAACATTTCTTGAGTGTTTACCATATGCCAGGCATTTTGCTGAGAATTTTATAAGATTTAATTCCGTATTTACAAGTCCCATATAACATATGTACCCTCATTATCTCCATTTTACAGATGAGAGAAGTGAGGCATTAAGTGACTTACCTGAAGTCACACAGTTATTAAGTGCCAGGTCAAGGAACCTAGTCCAGAGCTTCTATTTCTATGTTTTACAAAGCACCTAAAATCATACCCCACACTGAACTCTAGGACATCTAGGTCTCCTCATCCCCTAACTGGATCTGCTCCTACAACATAAAAAAGAACATGTTGGGAATACTTCATCTATTCAAATGAACGACACCAGCTCTTAAGCCATAAACCTGGGAGTCCTGCCTAAACACTAATACTAACAGCTTCAGGCATGCATATGTGCCCATGTGAATACTGGGTCACAATTTCAAAAATATTTCTTTAGGTTCTAAACAGTTTTCAACACCATTGCCAGATGATTCTAATATGACTCTCCAAGTGGGTCAGAAAACCCCAGGAGTCCTCAAGATCCATATAGGAAGTTCATGACAACAAAACTAATTTTATAACATTATGACATTATATGCCTTTCTTCACTGTCACTTTCTCACAAATGTACAGTTTTCCAAAGGTTATGTAACATGTGATATGACACCCCTGACAATTAATGGAATGTGTTTGCATACTCCTGTGTTTTAAAACATTGTTTTAATTTCTAACATAGTAAATAGTAATAGATCTAGCCTACACACAAAAAAAGCTAATTATGGTCCTCATTAATTTTTCAGAGTACATAACACTAAAGTGAACATTATCAAGAACTGTGAAGGGTCTAGAGTTTCATTTTACTCATGTACAAGTGTATAAGTTAGTTTGTACAAATACATTAGTTTGTAACTGTTTTGTGGACACTGATAGAACTCGAGTCTACTGGGTCAAAGACAGAATTTTTGGGCAACACAGTAAGCAGTATGAGATTCCTATGTGCACTGGCTCTCTGTAACCCCCAACTGCCAGTGAGTGACACAGAGGGGCCCAAATGGATACTACCCAACAGTGAATTGCATTAACAGTTAAAGCCACTGAGCTTAGGGAACCCACCACCTTTATAGTAAGTAAGCATGCCCTTTCATAATGGGAGACATTAAATTCTCATTCATCAAGGTAGCCTGTTGCAAACACAATCCTGAGAAACAGCTCAGGTTAAGAACAACTGAGGTCTTTCATTCTTGGCACAACCATCAAAGTGCAGAGGAAAGAAAAGACCCTTGGAAGACTCTCTCCCAAACATTATTTGTGGTTGTTTTAATGTATCTCCATAAACCCTTTGATACACCTCCCTTCCAAAGGGGAAACAAAATTACTCTCTTTGCATGGGGACTAAACTTAAATGATTTGCTTCTGATGTATCGTTTGCAAGACTGACCCCAAAAGACACCTCAGCTTCTTTGTTCATCACTCTCATGGATAACTCACGCACTACCTACAGCAGAAAGAGCCACGCAGTGAGGAAGAGAGACCTTCTGCCAACAGGCATATGAAATAGCTTAGAAAAGATCCTCCAGCCTGAGTCACACCTTTAGATGACTGCAACCTCATGAAATGCCTTGAGGCAGAACCACCCTTCAACGCTCTTCATAAAAACTGAGATGATGTCCTTTTTTTAACCCAGAAAAGTTTGAGGTGAAAATTTTTTTTAATTTGTCTTTATTTATTTATGCATACAAGAGCTAGGGTACAGGCCAGAGGTGAGGGAGGTGAGAGGATTCACCAGAGACAGAGTGGGGAACAAAACAGGCAAATCTACTGAAATACACTGTTGAGGGGAGCATCAGAGGAGTTTTCTTACTTTATTCCGCAGAGGATCATTTAGGTTAACCTATGGAATACAGCAACAAGAGAATGCCATGACTTGAGATGAAACTGACACACCTCTTGGACATCAGACACCAGGCAGACTGCACCATAAGAAACAAGAGATGGGTGGAGAGACACCTGTAGGCTATGGTCTGGGGCAGGAAGCTGCAGTACAAACTTTGGAGCAATCACTAGGAAAGGCACTCATCCAGTGTCCCCGATAAAGGGAAAGCTGAACAGAGTGGAGGCACACAGACCTCAGGACTGGTACTGACCTTGTTAAGTGCATGGACAGCACACAATGACAGCACTGTTCAGAATACACGCACACATAGATTTTATATTATTCTCCATAACCCTGCTATCATTTATATTAAAGCATATTAACAATATTATACTCAAGTAAAAACCAAAAATGTGACCCAAAATTTTCCTACAAAGTGAAAAGATATGTACTAACAAAAGCACAAAACACTGACCTTTAATACATTTCATCCTAACAAGGCACCCTGTGAAATAATTCTAACTGTGCTCCTCAGCCTTAGTCATGTGGTGACTAGGAGGAAAGGCTGGGATGATTCAGCTCCACTAATTAAATGTATAGTTTTCAACAAACAAGTGAATCTTTCAGAGGCTTGGTATCTTCATCAATGAAGTGGACATAATATTTTCCTCAAAGAATGGCTAAGAAGATCAAGTGAGGGAGTAAAAATAAACTCTCAGGTTCTTGGCAGGTTTTCAGTAACTGTTAGTCATTACGTTTCTAGGAATTTATCCTACACATATTTTCACACAAGTGGGAAGACTGATTATGAACTAT